GATCTACATCATGCACTCGCCCTCATGCCAGCTCTTCTCCTGTGCCCCCCCTTACAATGTTGAGGCATTTCAAAAGATGTGCCCCCTCTTACGATCATCACGCCCCAACAGAAGGATGCTTCGTTGCCCAACGATCACCTCCTTACACTCACCCCCTCCTGTGTGCCCCTTACAATATCCCCCAGCCGCCTCTGTGTCCCCCTTACAATCACCCCTTCCTTTCAATACCCCACCCCTCTTACAGTCACCACCCGTCAGATGGATGCGTTATTGGCGAGGCATCGTTGGAATCTTCTTGTAGCAGCCGCCCGCATGCCAGCTCTTGCGCGTGTGCCCGCCTTCAACAATCACCCTCTCACACGTCACATGCTCTGCTCTCCTGTGTCCCCCTCACGCGCCCCCCGTGTGAACCCGTGTCAGATGGACGCCTCATTGGCCAACGACCGTCGCGATCTGCTCCTAGCAGCCGCCCACATGCAAGCCGTGCTCGCATGCTCCGACCGACTTGCCACTTCAGCACCGCTCGCCGGCTCCAGAGGCACGCTGGGCGAGGACCTATCAGCAACCGCCAGCTCACGCCTACTCGCTGACTGGATGGCCCTCAACTCCCTCACCTTCCCGGCAGCTTCCTCCTCTTGGTCCCCAGGGGGTACGGAGGTCCCAAGGGAGATTCCCGTGCTATCAGCGTCCCAGTCCCAGTTGGGCAAGGGTCGAGTCCCCTTGCTGCTGCCGCTACTGGCATTGGTGCTGATGCTGCCTTTGCTCCTGCTGGTGCTACAGGTGCTGGCAGTGCAAGTGCAGGTAGTGGGTGGGGCAGCAGGAGGGTGGTATCGGTGACGGCAAGTGTGGTGGACCATGAGGGCACCGTCACCAGCAGCGCTGTGCATGCCGCCACAGGGGCGCACGTGAGAGTGGCTTTAAGTGCTGCTGGTGGCCATGGGGAAGGGCAGGGCGGGAGTGGCGGTGGTGCTGTGGGAGGTGGGGAGGTGGGGAGGTGGGGAGGTGGGGAGGTGGGGGAAGAGAGGACGTGGCGCTTGTATGAGCAAGACACAGAGGAGGAAGAGAAGGAAGAGGAGGAGGAAGAGGAGGAGGAGGAGGAGGAGGAGTGGGAGGAAGAGTGGGAGGAGGAAGAGGAGGAGGAGACAGGGAAGGGGGATGGACCATGGCTGGTGTCGCGATCGCAGGCTGCAGCAGCACTGTTCCCTCCGAGAAAGCGAGTGAGGCGAGAGGTGAGAGGAGGGATGTGGGTGGTGTCTGGCAGTGGGGCAAGACTGGCAGTGGGGCAAGACTGGCAGTGGGGCAAGACTGGCAGTGGGGCAAGACTGGCAGTGGGGCAAGACTGGCAGTGGGGCGGGACTGGCAATGCTGAAACTTGCATCTCTTAGGTACCCAAGGCTCCTTCGATCCGAGGAAGCGAGTGACGAGAGATGGGAGAGGGGCGAGGGAGTGGGACGGCAACTGCCGTTTCTCCCTCACTTCTCCTACTCATTTCTTCCTCTCATATCTCCTCTTATCTCCCTCTGATTTCCACCACCCTTTTCACGCTCTCATTTCTCCCTCATTTCCTCCTTCTCTCATTCCCCTTTCTCATTCCCCTCTCTCATTCCCCCCTCTCATTCCCCCTCTCATTCTCCCCTCTCATTCCCCCCTCCCATCCCCCCCTCCCATCCCCCCCTCCCATCCCCCCCTCCCATCCCCCCCTCCCATCCCCCCCTCCCAATCCCCCCTCCCATTCACCCCACTCTGAGCTCCACGTTTGCACCCCTCTGCCACTCCGTGCCATGCCGTCAGCTCAACGCTGCGCTCACATGGGAGGCACAGCAGGTGAACGAGGAGATGATCGACATGAGGGTGGAGGTCAGCCCGCGGGAGACGAGGAGAGCGCACGCCGTGGGCAAGGATGGCGCTGCAGTGCTGCTGCGCTTCGACATCCCCTCCGTGTGCACACCCATCACCTCATGTCATGTCATGTCATGTCATGTCGTGTCACCTCGTGTCGTGTCATCTCATCTCGTCATGTCACCCATCTAGCTATTCTGCGTTGCTGCTGTTCTGTTTGTGAGGCGACTCAAAAGGCGTGGGTAAGGATGGCGTGGCAGTGCTGCTGCGCTTTGACATGCCCTCGGTGTGCGCATGCACCCATCATCTCATGTCATGCCACCTCATGTAAACTCACCTCGTCTCGTCTAATCGAGACGAGTTTTGAGGCTCCTGAAGACTCGTGCACTTTGAAATCCACGGCCCCCCATTTCCTTTTCCTAGAGAACTTGTGTGCATTGCTGCTGCTCTGATTTGGGGTGCCTCAACAGCCCTGGGTAAGGATGGCGCTTTCAATGCTGCAGCACTTTGATATTCCCCCCATACGCACACCTCTTAAAAAGAGACAAATTATGAGGCACCTTAGAATTGATTCACTCTGACATCCCCTCTGGCTGTGCACATGCGTCCGACGTGGGAGCGGCCTGCTCTGTTTTGTGTGTGTGCGCAAGCCGTGTGCGCACAAAACATATTTCTCACATTTTGATGGTTTCCAAGCCGTGTGCTTCAAATTTGTTTGAGGCGTCTCACAACTCACACATAATGACCACGCATGCTTTGCCTTCACGAAAGCCCCACTTGTCAACATCAACTCAGCCTTGTTGTCGTTAATGAAAGAATTCCGAGTTCTTTTCCGGACCACCTCCTTAGTCACCAGCTAATATGCATCGCTCTTCCCCCCGTCTCCATCCCGCTATTCCCTCTGCGGCCCTGCAATGCCTCCACCCCACAGGTGGGCGTTCCCTTCCCTCCCCTCCGCCTGCTCGTCCCCGGCTCCTACCCGCACTGCTCGCCCCAGCCATGGCCCTTCCAAGCCCACCCACACGCCAGGTGCTCTGCCATCCTTGCCTGCTGCTCTGCTCCTGTCAACTGCTCTGCTCTGCTCTGCCAGTGCCATGCTCATGTCTCTTGTTCTTTGCTACACCAACCCATGTTCTCCCTCCGCCTCCATACAGTGCCTAGTGGTTCCCAGTGGTTTCAAGTGGTCCCCAGTGTTTCCCAGGTGTCTCCATTCAGTTTAAACATTGATCAACACACTTCATGCCCACCTCTTGAATAACACCATCCGAACCTCGCCCATCCTCCATCACTCTAATCCCACTTCCAACCTTCTCCGCGCCTCGCCCCTTCCCCCTTCCCTGTCACTCGCCAAGAGGATTAGTAAGGTCAGGATGCTGTTTCCCTTGGAGCTGTGTGTTGGACCATTCCGTGGGGGGGAAGTCATCTGTTCCTTGCTGTGCCCCCTTAAGTGGACAACCACGGCCACAGTATTGAACAAGCACATAACCTCATTCTTTTTACTCACGTTTTTCTCATTCTTCTCATTATTCCCGTTCCTCCCATCCTTCCCATCTTCCTGCCCACCACAGATCACCCGTGGTTCAAGGCGTCTCTGCTCTACCCGAGCCATGCGAGCTGCCAAGGGCTCTCTCAAGTTCACACCCATAGCACAGCCGTGAGATGAGCGCTTATACTCATTCCCCACTCCCGCTTCCCATCCCTCCTCCTGCCCACCACAGATTCCCCGTGCTTCAAGACGCCATGGACCGGTTTACCAGGGCCATGCGCGCTGCCAAGGGCCCTCTCACGCTCACAGCCATGGCGAGGGCGTGGAACGAGCATGCACGGGCGGCAGTCATGCATGTGCTTGCGGCATCTGCTCCCCCGAATGCGTGCTGGCATGCTGTGGTTGGCCCGTGGCACGAGTGTGCTGCTGACGTGGCACATGGCTAGACGATTCACATGTACCTGATTTGTGGATTTTTCTTTTGGGTGTTCATTCTACGGTATATGATGCTGCTGAGGAAGAATATTGCTTGAAGGAATTAGATGTGTATTTTACTTCCCATGTTGATTCGTTGCAAAAAGCTTTGAGATTTGTTGTGGGAGAATGGTACCGTTTGTAGAGCGAAAAAAAACTCACGTGTGTGACATCAATAGATGCATGGCAGCACAAGAAGCATGAGATGTTCTTTCATTTTGCGCCAACAGAAGAGAGTCTGGGCACTATTACCTCTCGGAACCTTTTTAAAGGTTCATACGCACTCAAACTGTAAAACACGGGCGATTGCGGGATCGCTTCCGCGCCCGCGGGCACGAAAAAAAAAAAACTAAAACCCACTCGGAAGGCATGCGTTTCGGGAGGCATCAACCCAAAAAATTCAGGGTTGAGGCTCCCGAATGGCATGCAGGTCGCGATGGGAAATAGTTTTTTTGCCCCGGGCAGCTCGCTTCCGCCAGCTCGCGTGTCCTGGTGGGTTCGAAACCCACCAAGAGGGGCACCTGGTGGATTCGAACCCACCAGGGCTCGGATGGACACAGTAGCTCGTTTTGACGATCGATCGTGAAATATCGATTCGCCACTGCACTAAGGGCGTGTAAAGTCGTGCCACAACAAATTTTCGGAAAATCCGTCGGGCCGTTGTTGGCGAAAGTAACCCGTCGACGACGTTCGCTGAAACAAGTGCGAGCTTCGTTTATTTCGGAGAAAAAATGCGAAATTTGATGGCTGGTTGAATAGTCGACACGTATCCGACATCATTTCGACTCCAATTCGGCCAAGTAGTCGACACCGTGAGCGACAGTCACGTACGACGTCGCACAGTATCGCATAACCCCAAGATTTGTGATCTCGTCAAATCAGAAAATTTGCCGCCAAACGTGCGACTCCGTCGCCCATTCGCAACTACTGTAGCAACTGCAAATTTTACAACTTTTTGCAATTCAGCCCTCAAACCTGTAAATTCTGCAAATCTGCAAATAGTGGCTGTGAAAGTGACGACACGAAGTCGACCAATCCGGCGACTTTCGCGAAAGAAATGTCGACCGGATGGTCGACGAAATCCGGCCAAAAGCAATTTCTGCATGTCTGCGGCAGGGCTCAGGTTTGGTTTTTACCTACTCACGATTAGCAGTGTAGACATTTTCAAAACCCTTCTGAGCAGTGTGTCTTTTTTAGTAACACTGATGGATCAGTGTAACTTGAAGTTTTGAAAACTTTACCCAGAGGCATCAGTGTAGGTATATTTTTTACCCTGATTGTACTGTAGGTGCTAGCAGCAACCAAGCCCGAGGCCCAAATTGCGCAAGATTACTAATCCTGCGCAAGGTGGGCACTGGTGGGTGGGGGTTGTTATGAAAGTCGAGCGCAGTGGCTTGTCTGGTTTCGCTGCAACACTTGTTTTTTTCGCCGAGTCAGCAAGCTTCCCGGGGGGAACATGTGTTTGGGGACCTCGATCGAGTCCCAAATTTCGGAGTCGAGGGAGTTGAAGTTTTGCAGTGAGTGCAGCTTCGACCAATCAGGTTGCAGTTTTTGCTTCGGGTAGGTTGCAAGCAGACACGGAGTGACGCAATGTCGGTCGTCAGTACTCACGTGCTGCCTTTCGTAGTGCATCATCTCGGAGAACCTTCGTCTCGATAGGTAGAGTTTCCGAAGGGCGGGGGGTGGGAGGGTGGTTCCCTGTACGCTTTTCAAAGTAATCTTCGCTAAGGGAAATTTTACCCCTGAGCATCAGTGTGGCCTAAATCATTACACTGACGTATCAGTGTAACACTAATCCCCCAAAACATTACCCCAGCCCATCAGTGTAGACTGAATTTTTCACCCTTCTTATCGGTATAGAAGGGTAAATTACACTGGAAACCTGAGCCCTGGTGTGCGGGGATTTTACACGCCCTAGAGTCATGTGTATTGCATCCACAACTTTCAGAAACTTTTATCCTCCGCAGGATCGATCGCCAAAACGAGCTGGAGCCTGACGAGGTGGGCTGTAAGGAATTTTACTAATTCCTTACTGAGGCACTCCTTACGCGTACATTTCGAACTTTCGGAGTTCAGGCTCGGTCCGTACCTCGCCTTCCGAACGTCCTCTGCGTCGCCTTCGGGTTTCCCAACCCCAAACCTGCACCCAACCTTCGCGCGACTCCGCGACCTCGGCCTAGCTAGCATTGCTATATTATGCCTAGGCCTCGTTGTTTGCTCAGTAGTTGTAATCACTTCCGCGTGATTGAATACTGCGCACTCTTCTTTTGTACAACTCATAACACTTGGTATCAGAGCCTACTTTCCTAGGTTACCCTCCACTTTCTGGGGTTGTTTTTGTGCAGGGGTGCGATAGACTTGGTGGGCTGCAAAGCGGTCGGCTGAGAGATAGATACGATTATCTCGCTCCGACTAATAGCGTTTGCGCCTTCATTTAAGTCAGAAAAATCATTGTTAACCCGCTGCTCGTTAGGAGAAGCCTGCGAAACATGGAACAGGCGGAGTTTAACGAGTTCATGCAACAGTTTCGGGCGATGCAAGCCAACTTGCAGACCATGTCTGCAGAGATGGATCGCCTGAGGGTGGAAAACGCCGAGCTACGCCAGACGCAAGGTGAAACGCGTCGGGAGTCGCCCGCCGTGGATGAAGCAAGTAGTAGCTTCGCGCCTAACGACAAGGTCCTTAGCGAGCTACAGAACTCGTTGGATGCTGAAGATGAGTGGACGGCACGGATGCAACAAGCACGAGGGACGCAGGAGCAACAGCCACAGCCGCAGCAACAGGCACAAACGGCACCGAGGCAACAGTCGCAGACAACGCCACGACAGGCACCAGCGACAACCCCGGCAATGGCTTCGGTGGCGCCCCCGATGCATGCAGCCGCAACAGTTTCAACAACTGTCAAGATAAAACCGACGAACCCGCCCCCGTTCAACCGCAGCGACAAAACCGTCATTGTGTCGGCATGGTTGTTCGGAGTGGAGGTGCTTTTCAATGCTGCGCAAATTGCTGACGATGCTACTCGCACTAATTTTGCAGTGTCACTGTTACGAGGACCGGCTTTGGAATGGTGGAAGCGGACTCTTCAGACAGAGGGGACTCCGGCAGGGCTGTCACGTGCGAACGACGGGACCTGGACAACTGTCACGCAACGAGCAACTTCAATCTTCAGAGTGGCCACGATACGCACATGGACGGAGTGGGGCGCCGCGCTGCGAGCCAGATTCGAGCATGTATCCGCCTCGGATTCTGCTCGCATGAAGCTGCGTACCTGGAAGCAGGTGGCGTCGGTCCAAGACTACACAGCTACGTTCTGCAATTTGGCCGACCAAGTGGACGACTTGAATGATGCGGAGCGACTCGACCGTTACGTCGCAGGCCTCAAGTACGAAGTACAGTACGAGGTGCGACGGGCGAGGCCACGCGATTTCCTCGATGCCGTCCAGGTGGCCGAATCAACGGACGCACTGATGCAGTGGGCGAGAATGAGTTCCCGGGAGGGCACTGTTGACCTTCGCGCCAGCCCACAATCAACGCGGTGGATGCACCGAGACGTGGACCTAACACGTGCTTCAACTGCAACCAACCGGGCCACTGGAGGAAGGACTGCCCGAAGTTGAAACAGGGAAGGAACGACGGAGAGGGGTCGGGAAAAGAGACGAGTCAGTAGCAGTCGGGCCACCTACTGACGAGACCCCGTCGCCCGGCAATCAACATCCACACCGAGTAGTGGTACCGATACGGGCTATCGACCGCAACAGGACGAATAAGGTGGATGAACACGTGGATCACCCTGTGCTGGTCGTGGGGAGGGTTAACGGACAAACAATAAAACATTTCGTTGACGGAGGGGCGAGCCACAGCCTCGTCAACCTGGCAACGGCCAAAAAAATCGGAGTCAAGCTGGACAGGTCTCTGCCCAAAATTGACGCGCGATTGGTGGACGGAACACCGCTGGCGATCAAGGACGAGCCCCGACAAATTCGGATGAAGTGTGGCGACGATTTCGGGTTTTCAATGCGCATGCTGGCGACAACACTGGACGGTTGCGATGTGCTGCTGGGACGAGATCGGCTGCAGCGATTTAATCCGACGATCGACTGGACGACGGGGGCGATTACGGTGCTATGCAACAAGTGGCGCGTGACACTTCCGAAATGGGCGGAGCCGGAGCCGATGACAACACGTGTCAACGCAATAACGATGAAAAGGGCGATCAAACGGGGAGCGCAGGGCTACGCCGTACAACAGTACGAGGTGGTGGCGTCCGAGAAAATCGCCGACATTGACACGCTCTGCGCTGCTGTACCAGACGACGTGACGAGCATAATTCGGAGGTATCCCGAAATTTTCGCGGATGACCTGCCTGACGGGCTGCCACCTCAGCGACCAGAAGACCACAGGATCGAGCTGGAGCCAGGCGCAAAACCAACTGTTCGGTCACAGTGGCGGCTCAGCAAACCGGAGCTCGACGAGTTGCGGAAACAGCTGGATTATCTGCTTGTGAAGGGTTTTATCCGGCCGACCACGTCACCTTACGCCGCCCCGATACTGTTCACGCCGAAGAAGGACGGAGGCCTGCGCATGTGCATCGACTATCGAGCGTTGAATCGGGTCACAATCAAGTCGCGTTATCCGATTCCACGAGCGGACGACCTGCTGGATCAGCTTCGCGGGGCTCGCTTCTTCTCGAAAATCGATTTGCGAGGTGGCTACCATCAAATTCGCGTGTTCGCCGACGACTGCCCGAAGACTGCATTTCGCACCCGCTACGGCAGTTACGAATATACTGTGATGCCGTTTGGGTTAACAAACGCACCCTCGACCTTCCAGCTCACCATGAATGGGGTGTTTCGGGACATGCTGGACAAAAAAGTTATTGTTTACCTGGACGACATCCTGGCGTACAGCAAGACTCGGGAGCAGCATTTACAGGACTTAGAGGAGGTTTTCCGGCGCTTGCAGCAGAACCAGCTGATTACTAAGGGCTCTAAGTGTGAGTTCTTACAGTCGGAGCTGGAGTTTCTGGGGCACGTGGTGTCAGGGGAGGGCATTAAAATTGACCCTCGCAAAGTAAAAGCGATTTCGGAGTGGAAGCCGCCCGCGAACATCACGGAGTTGCAGAGTTTCCTCGGCTTCGCTAACTACGTCCGCCGTTTTGTACCAAATACGGCGGGGGTAACCTGGGCCGTTAACCGATCTTCTGCATAAGGGCGTGCAATTTGGTTGGGGGGAGAGAGAGCAACTGGCCTTCGACGAGTTGAAGAAAATTTTGAGTTCACCTCCGGTGCATCGTCTGGCAGATCCATCTCGACCGTTCGAAGTCGTGACGGACGCCAGCGATTTCGCCGTCGGCGCCGTCCTCCTACAGGATTTCGGCAACGGGCTGCAAACCATCGCGTACGAGTCAAGGAAAATGCAGCCGCCCGAGCGCAACTACCCTGTACACGACAAAGAAATGCTCGCCATCGTGCATGCGTTTCGTACCTGGCGCTGTTACCTCACGGGAGCCGACGTCATGATCAAGACAGACCACAAGTCATTACAGTACATGCGCAGCCAACCACAACTCAACCCACGACAAATCCGGTGGCTCGACTACCTCGAGTCAAACTTCAGCTACACCATCACGTACAAAAAGGGCGCCAACAACATCGTCGACGCCCTGACCCGCCCATCAATGCAGACCGCAGCAGTGTTGATCGCCCATTCTAACCCTTTATTGGCAGGACTCTTCAAGCATGGCTACAGGACTGACAGGTTCTTCAGGACCAACCAACACCAACGGGTCACAACGACGCATGGGAGCTATCACCTAAAAGTCGGTAACAACCGAGTTTGGGTACCTTCCTATCGACCCTTACGAGAATTGCTGACGCAGGAGGTACACGGCTCCAATCTCCCCGGGCATTTCGGCGTCGACAAAACATTGAAGCTGCTGCAACGGAATTACTACTGGCCCGACATGGCGTCGGACGTGCAGCACTACGTGTCCGCCTGCCCGACCTGCCAAGCAATGAAATCATCACGTCAACGCCCAGCTGGATTGCTGCAACCCCTCGAGCCACCCGAACGACCGTGGCAACATGTGACAATGGACTTTGTCACCGGGCTGCCAGCTGGCGCAAGTGGCAACGATTCGGTGCTGGTCGTCGTCGACCGCTTAACGAAAATGGCGCATTTCGCACCATGCCGCACGACGATCACAGCCGAAGAAACAGCGAAGCTCTTCATCTCGACCGTCGTGCGACTACACGGGTTGCCTTCGGCGATTATCAGCGACCGGGATCCGAAATTTACGTCGAAGTTCTGGCAGGAGACATGGGCACAGTACGGCACCCGCCTGCAGTTTTCGTCGTGATACCACCCGCAAACCGACGAGCAGACCGAGAGGACCAACCAGACGATGGAGCAGTTGATTCGCACAAACTGCCCCGACAGTGGGAAGATTCGCTTCCCATGCTCGAATTTGCGTACAACAATGCCCCGTCTGCAACGACCAGTCAATCGCCGTTCTACCTCAATTACGGGATAGATTCGGTGGTACCCTCTTCAACGACTCCCGAAAATCCGGTACCGCGGTCGCAGCAGTTTGTTTCGGAACTTCAAGCAGCACGCGACAAGGCAACGGAATTCATACGGAAGGCTAATACTGCCGCCAGCCGCTACGCCGACCGACATCGACAGGATTTACCCTTCCGTGACGGGCAGATGGTCCTTCTGGACACGAAAAATCTCCGATTGCCCCAGCCTGCAAAATTGCGTCCCCGCTACGTGGGACCCTTCCGCATCATCAGGATGTTGACCCCGGTCACGGCGAAACTCCTACTACCGGACGACTGGAAGATCCACGACGCCTTCCACGTCAGTTTACTTCGCCACTACGTGGCTCCGCAGCCGTCCGACATCGCTCGACCCAACATCGCGCCAAGTGTCCGACCTATGGCAGATCCGACGCTTCAACCATGGAAGATTTTAAATCATCGCATTCGTGCGACCCCGGCTGGACGCCACGTCGACTTCCTTCTCCGTTGGGTGGATCGCACAAGCGAAGATGACACGTGGGTCCCGGCCGACTCACTACAAGGCCACTCGGTGTTTCGGGATTATCTTTCCCGCCGACGCGTGCCTGATATTGTCCACCTTTCTTAAAGGGGGGGGTAGTGTAAGGAATTTTACTAATTCCTTACTGAGGCACTCCTTACACGTACATTTCGAACTTTCGGAGTTCAGGCTCGGTCCGTCGACCTCGCCTTCCGAACATCCTCCGCGTCGCCTTTGGGTTTCCCAACCCCAAACCTGCACCCAACCTTCGCGCGACTCCGCGACCTCGTCTTAGCTAGCATTGCTATATTATGCCTAGGCCTCGTTGTTTTCTCAGTAGTTGTAATCACTTCCGCGTTATTGAATACTGCGCACTCTTCTTTTGTACAACTCATAACATGGGCAGAGCAGGGTGAGTTACGCATATCCCACAAACCTCGCAAACAATTTCGTCACCGCTTCGCCAGCGATTCGCGTTTCTCGCTTTGCCAGCCACCCCATCCCAGACGAGCCATGAGTATTGGGTTGGAACGTTCGGGTACTTCTTGAACTTCGAGCTATATTCTAGTGATTTTACCGTTCCCTGCATACTTAGCCATTTCAGCTATGGAGTCTCGCACACACATCGACAGTCTCTCGGACGACCTTCTAATGAAATTTTTACGGCGATCCACGAAGCCTCATTTCCGCAAACCTGAAACCAGCGAGGCTTGTGGGGCTCCTTGGACTTAGAGGCGACGGACATCCGTGGAAATCGCGACATACTTGAATTGAAATACAGTACACCGGTACCGACTCCTCTGGCAACTGAATCTGCCCCCATCAATTTCCTCCTCGCGTCTGTCTGCCGTCGCTGGCGGCGGGTCGCGCAACACCATCTGCACCCTCACGTCGCCGAGCTTCTTCTCAGAGAGAACCTCGTCGCGTCCCTCCAAGACCTAACGGTCGCCGTCGCGCGCTTCCCAAGCCTCACGCATCTCCATCTGTGCGACCTCAGCGTGGAAAACCTCGACGACGCGTTCTTCGCTCACCTCGCCTCGTCATGTCCCAAGCTGACCATTCTCCACGTGGGAGGGAAGATAACGCCGCGGATTCCGGGATTGAGCGTCGAGCATCCAATCACAGACGCCGGGATGGATCTCTTCTTCCGCCGCTGCTCTCAGCTGCAGCAGCTCTCGCTCTACTGCCTCCGCGACGGCGCTGACTTCCCGCCGTCCTTCTTTCAACTCAAGCACCTGCACACTCTCGCTCTCACCACCCCGGCAACCCTAGAAAATCCGGGGTTGAGGAGCCTTTCGTCCCTCACCAACCTGCATCTCGCCTTCCCGGCATTCCATCTGCAGCACCTATCCAGCCTGCTTGACCTCCCCATCGCGCACCTTTCTATCTTCGCTCTGCATCGTACCGACCAGCCCGCAGCTCCTTTCAGCATCGCACTGCTGTCTTGCCTGGAAACGCTTAGATTCACGAAGTGCACCCCTCCATTCGACTCAATGTTTCCACCGGGATCAACCCCATGCGCTCGCCTGCAGCAGCTGCTTCTCACAGATTATCAGGAGCTCGAAGGCCCTCCCACCGACATTGGAGATCTGCTCCCCTCCCTCCGCAAGCTAGTCATCCGTGGCTGCCATCGCTTTACGGAACTGCCTGAAAGCTTGCCCTCTCTGACCCGTTTGGAAGACTTGGTTATTTCCGATGCAAAGTTTCTGTTTGGACTTCCTGACACCTTGGGTGATCTGCCGGCTCTCAAAACCCTCGTGCTCAAGTCGCTGCCTCTTGTTGTCCTCCCTAGTTCCATCTCCCAACTCACGTCCCTCAACGCTTTAGTCCTTGACAATTGCTACCAGCTTCGCGAGCTTCCAGCTGGTTTCTGCCGCCTCCCCGCACTCAAGGCTCTCTGCATCGAGTGCCTTCGGAATGTCACACTAACAGACGACATTAGGCACCTCACCAGCCTTGCCACTCTTCGCTTCATCGGCTCCCGTTGCCAGCAGCACCTCCCAGCCTCGTTCACCGCGTTGACTGCATTGACCAGCCTACAACTGCACGAGTGCGCAACACCTGAGCTTCCAGATGCGTTGGGGGCGCTCAGTAACCTGACAGATCTGAGCATACTGGTATGCCCCATCAGCCGTCTTCCAGAGTCCATCACTCGTCTGATCCGTCTGGAACGCCTGGCAGTTGTTCTTTGCTCGCGGCTTTCATGGGTGCCCGGAAGGCTGGATAGCCTCAAGAGGCTGAAGCAGCTGCAGCTGACACACTGTGAACGGCTGAGTCACCCTCCTGCCAGTCTGCCGCGCTCTCTCGAGCTCCTAAGCATTCCATGGTCCGGGAAGCAGCTCACTGCACTGGCAGACGTGTCTGTGCTATCCCAGCTGAGGGAGCTGGAGCTGCATGTCGGTGGGGGAGGGCAAGGGCCAGGAGCAGCAAGCTGCCCTGCCAGCGACCTGCAGGTTGGCGAGTTTGAAAGCTCACTGAGCAGCCTTAGCACCGAAGGTCATTGTTGGAGCAGCGCTCTGTCTCGCCTGCACCGCTTGGCCCTGCACCTGGACAACGCTGCTGTAGAGCTCCCCTTCCCCTTCACCTTCCTCCCTTCCCTGCGCCGCCTGACCATCTCGGGACATGGCATCAGGAGGCTCCCTGGAAGCATTGGGGCAGCGTTTCCGCAGCTGCGGCAGCTGAAGCTGGACAAGGTTTCATCGCTGGAGGAGGTGCCACGCAGCATTGGGGAGCTCCGGCAACTCACAGCCTTGGAGATCCACGCGCCCAAACTGAAAACTCTCCCTGTAACCATCGGTGCGCTGTCCCGGCTGCGCACGCTTGATCTGTCGGAATGCCGAGAGCTGCAGCAGCTGCCGGCTTCTATAACGCGCCTCGCCTGCCTGCATGATTTGGATTCATCTTCCACATCCATCTCCGTGCTTCCTGCTGGCTTCGCACACCTCACCAGGCTGAGGAGCCTTTCTTTAAAACACTGTCGGGAGCTGCAGGGTTTCCCAGAGGATTTCACGCAGCTGGCAGCTCTGCGGTGTCTGTTGTTAAGCGGCTGCCGGAGTGACTACCGTGACACTGAGGCCTGGTTGACGGCGCATGGCCTTGCGAAACTCCGTTCGCTGCTTGTTATGTTGTAGTGCCGTGGTGTCTCCTTAGACGCAGCTTGCTTGCATACCATGCTGGTCGGTCGGGTTTTGTGGACTTCTGAATCTGCTTCATCATGGCTCGGTTGATTGTGGATGTAGAGAACTTGCCTTTACTTTGTTGTCGTCGCCTCATTCCAAATGGAAAGGTACAATCAAGCTCAGCCGAGCATGCTAGTACTAGGAATGGACAAGAAACTTTACAAACTGCATGTTTCCCAAAAGGGGGGGCGGACCTAGCCATGTGTAACACCATGTGTAACATGATGTGTAACACCATGTCTACTGTCAACCCAGACGAAGTCCCACTGGCAAGTCCATCAGCCCAGCGCCTTGAGCATCTCAAGAACCTCCGCCGCGGCACCCGTCTCCTCGTCAAACATGTCAAACTCCACACTGCCACTGCCACTGCCACTGCCGCCCTCCCCCTCGCCACTCGCAGCTGACACCTCCACCACATCCGCCTCCTCCTCCGCCACCACCACCGCCGCCACCCCCCCACCCCTCTTGCTCTCCACCACCACCCCCCCTGCTGCTCCCTTGGCCTCGCCCCCACCGCCGTGGGCGCGGGGCGGGGCGCGTGCGGCAGCGGCGGGGCGGAGGGGCCCCTTGAAGTAGATTATGGCACGGTCCAGGGCGCGCACGCGCAGGGCCAGCGCTGAGAGCGTGGCGCCGGAGGCGGCGGCAGCCGGGGAGCACCAGAAGCGCCAGCCCAGGGCGAGGCGGTCCGCACGGATGGCGAGCTCGAGCAGGATGCAGGCGTGCAGCAGCTGGGGCAGGACGGGGGTGGAGAGGTGGGGGAGGGTATGAAGTGAATGCGTGTTCTCAGATACCCTGCAGCGATGGGGGAAGAGTGAGTGATGGCATGTGCGAGGAGGTGGAATAAACCAAGGGAAGCAAGAGCGGCAGGGATAGCAGTGGCAGCAGGGGCATGAGAAATAGCACAAGAAGAGGGGCAGCAGGGGCAGTGGCTCACGTGGCGCCAGTGCTGGGCATCAGCGCGCTTCACCATGGCCCGCCATGCACGGCGCCTGCCCGACCGCCCTCGCGGGCCGTCCATGGCCTCCACACCCGCCGCCGCCTCCACGTCCAGCAGCTCGCGCTTCAGCACCCCCACCACCGCCTCCTCCCACTCGCCCCCCGCCCCGCCCTCGCTCCCCTCCTTGCCATCACTCACAGCCACACCCCCTCCACCACCCACACCTCCCAGATGGACTTGAGCAGCGAGGGCAGGCGAGGGCACTTGAAAATGGGGATGCAAGGGCGCAGGCGGGGAAGGGAGGATGGTGGGTGGCTGCTGGCTGAGAGAGACGTTGCGGATGAGGAGAGCGGTTGGGTGCGGTGGAGAGGTACTGAGAGCGCGGGAGCTGCTGCTGCTGACGTCAGCTGCGCTGGTGCCATCGGGTGCCAGTGGCACGTGGTCCCAGGGGCTGGCCCAGGCAGGGTGCGGCATGGGGGAGGTCACATCCCCCGCCATGGCACCGAGTGCGCTGCCATGCCTGCCCCAACCATCCACACACACACCATCCATGCCTGTCCCCTCCATGTCCGTTCTCTCCGTGTCTTCCCTCTCCATGTCAGCAGCCCACACATCCACGTCAGCATGAGTTGGCAGAGCAAGTGTGGCGGGAAGAGCACCGCCAAGCGGAGCGGCAGGAGGTGGAGGCGCGATGCCCTCTGGGAGGTGCTCTATGGGCGCGAGCCCGCCACACAGCGCCTCCCACTCCTCCACACCACTGCTGCCACTCCGCTGCAATGCCCCCTCATCCCCTCCCTCCTCCGTACTTGTGCTCATGGTCACCGTGGTAACGCCAGCACTGTGAGCATCAGGATGAGTGCAAGCAGTGGCTGCGGCAGTGGCAGCAGCGCCGCAAGCAACAGTGCGAGCAACAGCAGCAGGTGAAGCCTGTGCGGCAGCGACAGCAGATACACTCCCATCTGCCACCACCACACCTCCCCCGCCTCCTCCCATTGCTGCACGCTCCCCCTTCCTCCCCCCCTCCCCACCTTCATTAGAATCCCCTCTCTCTCTCACCCCTCCACTCTTCCCCCTCCCGCTGCCCTCACCATTCTTCCGCCTCTTCCCCGTGTGGGTATCCAGCAGCTGGCAGCCGCTCAGCACCTCCTCCTCACCGCCCCGCTCACCCCCTCGCGTCCTCTTGTGTGCCACCACGTGCCGCTGCCCCGCTGTGCTGCAAGCCCCGTCGCCCGGCTCACCGCCCACCACCCTCATGCGACCGCCCAGGGTCGCCACACTCCTGCCCACCACTGCCTGCCCCACACAAACACCGCCTGCCACCCCTGGGGCAACTGCTACTTCTGGGGACGGTGACGTGACAGCTGGTGACGTGGCAGCTGGTGACGTGGCAGCTGGTAGCGTGGCAGCTGGTGACATGTCAACTGGTGACGTGGCAGCTGGTGGAGTGGCCATGATGTCGCACAGCTTGAGTGCGCCAGGTGGAAAGATGCCATCAGCATCACACTGATGTCTTCTGGCTGCACGAGCTGCCACGTCAGCAGGTGGCAGGTCAGCAGTGCTGGGGGGGTCGAACACAGTCCCTGCATCTTCATCTTCCTCCTCCCCTGCAACCCTGTGCCACAGCCGTTCCTCCCTCTCCCCCTCTTCCATCGCCCGGTCCCCACTCGTCTGCACCCTGCAGCCCACACCAAGCACTGCCCCTCCACCCATCCTGTGCCCTCCCTTCCGCTCCTCCTCCCGCTCCCCCCTCACATCCCCTCCCTTCCCTCCCCTCCCCCCACCCCGTCCGCCCTCCCTGCCCCCCTTAGCCCTCAGCCGGCACGCCCGCTTGTGCCCTTCAAACTCCGCCTTGGCGCTGTAAGTCTCGTGGCAAATCATGCAGTGCCACCTGGCAGCCCACTGGAGCTCCAAGCACTCACACCGCCACACGCCCCTCCTCCCCGCACCGCCAGCTGTCGCCCCCAGGGCGCCCTTGTGCGCTGCCCCTTTCTCTCCTCCTCTGCCCTTCCCCTTCTCCCCCCTGCCTCCCTCCTTTCCCCCGTCCCCTTCCCCTCCCAGTGGCACGGCACCATCCAACTCCACCGCTCCGAACCGTTCTTCCAGAAAGGCCATAGCTCGCAGGGTGCGGAGGCTTGGGGTGCATGGGTCGGTGAGAGGCTCGGAAGTTGGCTTAGTGGGCGGCTTGGTGGGTGGTTCGATAGAGTGGAGTGGGAGTGAGTGCAGGGGTGGCAGGGACGAAAGGGAGAGGGAGGAGTGTGCGGGCTGTGCAGGTGAGGGCTCATGGGGATGCACGGGGGTGCCGGGCTGCTGCTCACATGCTGCATCAAGCACACGCCCGCACCGCTCATGTAGCAGCTGCTGCACCCGCCTGTAAACCCTTGCCACCTGGCTGCCAGGTGTTGCTGCTGTAGCCAATGAGGAAAGAAGAGCGTCCACGTCAGCAGCAGCAGAGGCAGACGCAACCTTTGTCTGACCCAGCGTGTCCCTTCCTTTCCCCGTGGCAGCACCCCTGTTCAGAACTACAGCACCCCGCCACACATACCAGCGCCACTCGCCCTGCTCGCCCTCACTTCCAACCCACTCACGGACTCCACTCCCCCCACGAGGACGAGCAGCAGCGGTGGCGGAGGCGAGCAGTGCGCTCCCCACGGGCACACGGCGCGAGCACGCTGCGTGGTGGCACGCCCCCCTGCATGCCGGCCACAGGCGGTGAGGGGGGTGGGTGTGGCGAGGTGAGGCAGATGAAGGCGGTTGGGGGAGGGCGGGTTGCATGAGGGTGGAGGCACGGGCCCCATGAGGCCACCACACCAGCACCGCTGCTGCTGCTGCTGCTCCCCCGCTGCATGCTGCAGCACCAGCATCGTTGGCTCCATCATCGTTGGCAGCAGCATCGTTGGCAGCAGCAAAGTCATGACCTCCGCTTCCATCACTGCTCATAGTAACGACAAAGAACAGCCGTCCGATCTCATCCGATCCGACGAACACCACGGCTCCACCAGCCTCCTGCTTCTCTCCCTGCACGCCTCTCAGCCTGGGCAGCGCGGCACTGGAGCACCACAGCTGCATGCGCCCTGCCCCCCCGTCTTCCACCACCTCCTGCCGCTCCCCATCACTCCCCTCCTCACTCCTCCCATCACTCTCCGGCCCGCTCTCTTCCTTTGCCTCCTCCTCTTCTTCCTCCTCTTCCGACTTATCCTCGCCCTGATCGTCCTCTCTCCCCACCTCCTCCTTGCCGTGCCCCTCACCCCACTCGCCCCCATTCACCACACTCTTCTGAGTCCTCCTTCTCTTGCCGCCTCTCAACCGCTTCGTCCTTCCACCCCTCTTCTTCTCACTCCCTCCCACCTCCTCCACACTCTTTTCACTCTCTGCCCCATCGTCATCCCCATCGCCATGCATGTACCCCTGCCCCCTATCCGCTTGGGAGTCGCTCCCAAGAGCCATCAGCAGGCGCAGCTGCTGCGGCCAGTGGGGCGCGTGGGGGCGCCATGGCTGGGCAGAGCGCGGAGAGCGACGGCGAGTGGCGCCCCATGCCATGAACCTGCCACACCACGCCACTGCCACGCGCTGCTGCTCCTCCTCCCCCTCCTCCTCCTCCTGCTCCTGCTGCTGCTGCTGCTTGTGGCAGAAGCTCTGGTAGGCTGGCGTGCGAACCACGAGGCGACAGAGGGTGTGGAGAAGCAGGATTCTCTGCAGTCGAAAGAGGTCAAAGGGGGGTGTCAACAGCGGTCAATGGGATTCGCAATCGGTCAACGGAAGCCATAAGCGTTAAAGGAAGGCATAAGCAGTCAATGGAAGGCATAAGCAGTCATACGCAGTCAAGGGAAGTGGCCTGACAGAATGATACGAGCAGATTAAGAAACTCCGAGTTCATAAATGACCGGACCGTGTATAAATATTTCAGCAACACTGCGACACGTGAGAAGCCCCCGTGCATCACACTCTCAACTCAACACCAAGCCACTTGGCAGCAAGCACACTCGACCCGCCACACCAAGCCACATGGCAGCAAGCACACTCGACCCGCCACACCAAGGCTGGTGGTCATGCGGCACTCACAAGGCTGGTGGTCATGCGGTGGTAGTGGCAGCTGCTGAGGTGCCTCGCCACCACATACATTGCACTCTCCTCCCACTCCCCCTCCTCCCCACACCCCACCGCCCCCTCGCTCCCCACTCCCTCCTCTCCTACCGCAACGCCCCTGGCCTCCACCTCTTCTTCTCCCTCCTTCTCTCCTTCCCCCCTTTCCTCCCCGTCCTCCTCCTCCTCGTCGTCCTCCTCCTCTCCCCAACCTGTCTCCTGCGCCCTACCCGCCTGCACGCACAGCGGGCAGTACCAGTGGCCACGGGGCACGCGGGCGAGGGACGGCAGGAGGCAGTAGAGGTGGAACTCGCGGTCGCAGCCGTCGCACAGCAGCACGGCGCGCTCGTCCACGTCCACCCCGCACACCAAGCACCCCTCCCTCTCCCACGGGGGCACCCCCTCTGCTGCCTCCCCCCCTGCCTGACCCCCCCGCCCCCTTCCCCCGGCTCTGTCTGGTCCGGGCGTTGGCGGGCGCGGGGGCAGCATTGGAGCCGTGGCGAACAGGCCCTGAGGGTGCAGGGAGGTCGCGGAGGGGAGGAGTGTGAAGAGGTGAGGAGTTGAGTGCGCTGTGATTGGGGGATGTAGGAGCATTGAAGGACGGAACGGCTAGGGCTAAGGGGGAAAGAAGAAAGAGGAAGGGAGAAACAACGTTGGAAGGGAAGAGAGCAGGGGACACACATGACGATGGAAGGGAAGAGAGCAGGGGACACACATGACGATGGAAGGGAAGAGAGCAGGGGACACACATGACGATGGAAGGGAAGAGAGCAGGGGACACACATGACGATGGAAGGGAAGAGAGCAGGGGACACACATGACGATGGAAGGGAAGAGAGCAGGGGACACACATGACGATGGAAGGGAAGAGAGCAGGGGACACACATGACGATGGAAGGGAAGAGAGCAGGGGACACACATGACGATGGAAGGGAAGAGAGCAGGGGACACACATGACGATGGAAGGGAAGAGAGCAGGGGACACACATGACGATGGAAGGGAAGAGAGCAGGGGACACACATGACGATGGAAGGGAAGAGAGCAGGGGACACACATGACGATGGAAGGGAAGAGAGCAGGGGACACACATGACGATGGAAGGGAAGAGAGCAGGGGACACACATGACGATGGAAGGGAAGAGAGCAGGGGACACACATGACGATGGAAGGGAAGAGAGCAGGGGACACACATGACGATGGAAGAGAAGAGAGCAGGGGACACACATGACGATGGAATATGGTGGTGTGATAAGAGACGAAGCACGGCCGACAAAGGGAATGGACGAGCAGGTGATGGGAGCACCCCACACGGCATCCCATCCCTCCAACCCCCTCTCCCCCCCCACCCACATGGCAGGGGACGCCCACCTGCGAGGCGAGGAGCTTGTCGAAGAGTGGTGCGAGGTGCAGCATGGAGAGGAAGATGGGGTGCGGCTTCCTGTACCCCACTCGCACGTTCATCCACATCTGGCGGGGGGACATGGCAGATGGCAGCGCAGCGCACGCAGGAGATTTGGAGGAACGAAGAGGAATGGTAGCGGTGACTCCTTGTGTTTCCCTCCGCCCACAACTCTCCTCTCATTTCATCTTGCCTGCCAGTTTGAACTCCTCAAACGTACTCGCTCCACTTTGACTCATGAGAGTGTCGTCTTCTCTTCACTCGTCTCTACTACATAACAGGGTGACTCCTGCGAGAATCTACGAGAATCTACAAGTGATTTGAATGCAAGGGTCGACTCACAGCTCACCTTACCACACACCCTCTCAGCCCCCTCAATCCTCCCAACCTTCTCAACCCTCCCAGCCAGCCCAACCCCCTCTCAACCTGATTGATCATCAGCAGCATCACTATGCCACGCCATCCCATGCAGAGTAGGCACGAGAGGGCCGGCCTTCTGCCTGGCACGGCACACGCACCTGTGTGACGTCAGCAATGAAGCACCTGTTTGACGTCAGCAATGAAGCACCTGTGTGACGTCAGCAATGAAGCCCTCACCTGTGTGACGTCAGCAATGAAGCCCTCACCTGTGTGACGTCAGCAATGAAGCCCTCACCTGTTTGACGTCAGCAATGAAGCCCTCAGCGGAGTGGCCATAGGCGCCCATGACCACGCGTGCATCGATGGTGCGCAGGTCAATGGGCCGCGCCACTGCATGCCGCGGCGCCCACCCCGCCCTCCGCGCTTCCCCCCCCACCGCACCCCCCACCGTCGCCGCTGCCAGGGCTGCCCCTCCTGTGCCGTCGCCCCCTCTCATGTTCCCTGCCCCTGTGAGCGCCACCCGCGGCCCCCCATGCTCGTGCTGTGGCGCTGCCAACCCCTTCGCCACCACCCCTCTCACGCCCTTCCCAGCCCCCCCCTCGTTGCCCACATGACCTGCACTGCTGCCCACCCTCCCTCTGCCCTCCCCTGCCCCCCCTGCCCATGCCCCTCCTGCATCCTGTGCGGCATCGTGCCCCCCCTCCGCCGCGGGTGCCACGGGCCCCACGCCCCAGAAGTAGGTGAAGGCGCGCAGGTGGTCCGCCAGGGCCAGCTGCCACAGCACCGCGCGGCACTGCTGCATCAGAGGAGACAGCACACGCCCCGCTGCTGCTGCTGCTGCTCCCCCCGCCAGGCCGCTGCGCCCTGCCAGCCCTGCTGCCGCGCCTGCCCCCGAGTGTGGTGCTAATGTTGGCCCAGCAGCGCCATGCGCAGCACACGGCTCACTCCCGCCTCCCTCACCTGTGTGCCACTTGCCATGTGCTTGCCAGCCCCCATCATCGCCACTCTCTGCCCCGCCTCTCCCCACAGCCATCCCACCATCCTTCTCTCTCGCCGTGCCCTTGCTGTCAGCAGCACCATCGCCCCTCGCCGCTCCTCCTGCATCTCGCTCCACCTTGGCGCCACCCCAGCCAGCAGCAGCGGCACGTGCGGAGGGAGAGGGGGGGGCGGCAGCAGAGAGGGGCTGGAGGGCGAGGAACTTGTCCATCACCTCGATGGCCGCGCGCTGCCACGGCCACCAGGGGGGATGGGGGGGATGGAGGGGCAGGGGGGGATTGGGGTCATGGGGGGGGGGGGATTGACAAGAGGTGAAGATAAAAGGGTGAATCCACGGAAAAGAGTCGGCCTTGCGTGGTTTGCGTGCCAAACCTAAGAGAAGCGGATGCAGGAGGCAAGAAAAGCCGGTGCAAACGGCAAAAAATGAATAGCTGGGAAGACGGATAGAGAACAAACGCAAACAGAAATGTGTGACTCACAGTGACCAGTCACCTTAGTTGGCTTTGACTCACCATAGTAGGCCTTAACTCACCATAGTAGGCTTTGAATCACCTTAGTGGGCTTTAACGCACCTCAGTCGTCTTTAACCCACCTTAGTCGTCTTTAACTCACCTTAGTGGACTTTAACTCACCTTTAATCGTCTTAAACTCACCTTAGGTGGGATTTAACTCACCTTAGTGGGCTTTAACTCACCTTAGTGGGCTTTAACTCACATTAGTCGTCTTTAACTCACCTTAGTCGTCTTTAACTCACCTTTAGTCGTCTTTAACTCACCTTAGTCGTCTTTAACCTGAAAGAAACTATCAGCTATAGAATGTTGAGGAAGAAGTGTTAACATTAGCTCAAGAGAGCACAAGGTTATACAAGGAAGGACCAAGACCAAGTAGGCTAGTGGGAGGAAGGACCATCCAACCAGCCCTAGTGGGATGGTGGCCAACCAGCCAAAGTTGGTTGCCCCACTTGGTCAACAAGGTTGGAGTCAAGTCTAAGCTAGGATATTTGGGTTCACCCCAATTAGGGTGTCTACCCGCAGTACACCCAAAACTAGAGCCTGAACCAACCCAACTGTACACCACTCTTGGTGTGCAGTCACAAGTGTTCGCATGCTATAATATATGGATTCTAACATAACCAACCTTAGTTGGCTTTAACCTGTGAAAGTAGTAAATTGAACAAGTAAATTCATTAGAGAAGAAACCTAGCATACATAGTTGGAAGAGAGGCTTGGAAGAGAAGGGTGAAAGTGACCATAGGTTGGGTTGACCTCACTTGGGGGAGTGAAGCAACCATAGGTCAAGTCAAGTGGGTTGGGTTGCCCACACTTTGTAGAAGTGAGGCAACCCTAGGCCCACTTGGCTTGAGGTGACCTCACTTGTGGGAAGTGAGGCACCCATAAGCCAAGTGGGTTGCATTTGGGGGCTCCACCACAATTGGGTGAATTGGCACCCCAAAGTGCAAGACTACACCCAAAGTTGGGTGTAGTCCCAACCCAACTGTACACCACAACTGGTGTACAGTCACATGTGTTGGCATGCTACACAATATATATTTTAACACAACCCCTCAGCATGCTAACACAAGAAGAGAACAACCCCTGAATCAAGGGGCGCCCGGGCGAGCAAGGCCAATGAGGCGGAGGAAAGCAGAGTGCGCAGGGCGAAGGAGGGCCTTAGTGAAGATGTCGGCCAAGTTGGCCTCGGTCGCAATCTTGCGAACGGCAATAAGGCCCTTCTGGACGAGCTCGCGAATGAAAAAGTAGCGGAGCTCGATGTGCTTAGAGCGGGCGTGATAGACGGGGTCCTGAGTGAGATGGATGGTGCTGGCATTGTCGCACCAGAGAGTGGGGCACGTCTGGGGGGCGCCAAGCTCTGCAAGAAGGAAGCAGAGCCAGCGTGACTCCTGGGCGGCCATGGTGCCAGCGTAGAGCTCGGCCTCGCAGGTGGAGAGAGAGATGGCGGAGGAGCGGGTGGAGCGCCAGGTGATGAGGCCGCTGCCAAGGGTGAAGCCGTAGCCCTGGGAGGAGCGGCGGTCCGGCTGCGTGTCAGCCCACGAGGAGTCACTGAAGCCCGAGAGAAGAGGAGGGGAAGGGCCGCCAAGGGTGAGGGCAAGGTCCTTGGTCCCACGAAGGTAGCAGGACCCGTTTGGCGGCTTTCCAGTGCTCCTCAGTGTGACGACCGTTGCCGACAAAGCGAGCGAGCACGCTGATGGGGTAGGCGAGGTCGGGGCGGGTGCACATCATCGCGTACATCAGGGACCCAACGAGCTCGGCTTAGGGGTGGGGGGAGGAGGTGGGGGAGGTGGGTGGAGCGAGTTGGTGGCCGAAAGGGAGGGGGGTGGAGACAGGCTTGGCCTGCGCCATGTCGAACTTCTCCAAGACCTGGCCGATGTAGTGGGACTGTGAGAGGGTGATGGTGCGAGCAGGGCGGTTGCGCGTGATGGCCATGCCCAGGTAGTGAGTGAGGGCGCCAAGGTCTTTGCACTTGAGACGCTGCTGCAGGGACAGCTTCAGCTGCTCCATGTCGGCCCTGGTGTCAGAGAGCAGGATCATGTCGTCCACATACACCAGAATGAAGAAGCGGCGGGGGGAGGAGCGGATGAAGAGGCTGGCGTCGGAGTGGGAAGCAGAGAAGCCGAGAGACCCTAAGGTGGTAGCCAGCTTCGCATGCCACTCACGCGGTGCCTGCTTCAAGCCGTAGACAGGGCGACGCAGCTGCCAAACAGTGTTCTCAGGGAAGGCTGCGTGGAACCCGGGGGGTCGCCGGAGGAAAATGCGCTCGTGCAGGTCGCCCTGCAGGAACGCGTTGGAGACGTCCATGGAATCAATCTCCATGTTGTCACGTGCGCCAATGTCGAGGGCGGCGCGAAGGGTGGGAGGTTTGGCGGTGGGGGCGTAGGTGAACCAGTAGTCCTCGGCCCAAGTCTGCGTGAACCCCTTAGCGCAGTAGCGTGCCTTGTACACCGGTTCCTCGTCCGGCAGCTGCTTCACCCGAAAGACCCATTTGCCGTCAACGAGGTTGGCGCCGGCTGGGAGGGGGACATCGACAAAGGAGTCGTTGCGAATGAATGCCTCACACTCCAGGAAGATCGCCGCTATCCATTTATCCGCGTCAGGGCAGGAGATGGCTTCCTGGAAGGTGGAGGGAGTGAAGATGGTGGGGGTGGTGGTGGCGCCAAGGACAGGAAAGCCCAGGAAGTCAAGGTAGAGGGAGGCAAGGAACGGAGTGTGCTCCCGAATGTTGAGGAACTCTTCATGGGAGTCCTCAAGAAGCTGAATGGAGGCAGGAGGAGGAGCCCCAAGGATTTTGTCCACCGAGCGGGTATGGATGTAAGGGAGGAGGAAGGGGGAGGAGCGGGAAGTGACACGGCGCCGCTGCTGCTGCTGGTGCTGCTGAAGCTGCTGCCCTTGTTGTTGCGGCTGCTGCGGACCGTGTTGCTGCTGTGTCTGCTGCTGCTGACTGTGCTGCTGCTGCTGTTGCTGCTGCTGCTGCTGCTGCTGTTGCTGCTGCTGCTGCTGCTGTCCCGGTTGCTGCTGTTGCGGCTGCCCCGGCTGCTGCTGCTGCTGCTGCTGCTGCTGCCCCGGCTGCTGCTGCTGCTGCCCCGGCTGCTGCTGCTGCTGCTGTTGCCGCTGCTGGTGTTGCTCCGGCTGATGCTGCTACTGCTGCTGCTGGTGCTGCTGCTGCCCCAGCTGTTGCTGATCCGGCTGCTGGAAAGGAGGAGAATGAGAGGAGGGAGAGGGGGGAGGGGGTGCAGCTGAGTGAGCGGGGGAGGCGGGTGCGGCAGGGTCGTAGACGTCGGCAGAGGAGGAAGGCGGGAGTGGGGCGGCGACAGGTGGGAGGAGAGGCACTGGAGGGAGAAGAGGCGGGAGAACGGTGTCGGTCCAAGCGAGGGGGCGAGTGGGAGGAGGGAGGGGGTCAGGAGGAGGGGTGGAGTAGTAGGGAATGGATTCGTCAAAGACGACGTCAATGCCGCGGATGAGGCGATTGGTGGGAGGGTGGAGGAATAGGTAGCCTGGGGAATCACGATTGTGCCCAAGGTAGACGCACTCCAGAGCGCGAGGAGCGAGCTTGCCAGCAGCGCGGGAGCGGTCGGCCGGTGGAATGAGGACGAACGCCTTGCAGCCCCAAACACGAAGGCCTGCGGCGTCAGGCTTGACCTTGGACCAGAGTTCTGTGGGGGAGGAGGAGGGATGCTGAGGGTGGGAGCGGAGATTGAGGAGGAGGGCGGCATGAACGAGGGCATAGCTCCAGAGGGAGGGAGGGGTGGAGGCGTGAGCAATGAGGCAGCGCGCAATCTTGGTCATCTCACGGATGTGACTCTCAGCGATGCCGTTTTGCTGAGGGGAGTGGGGGAGGGTGGAGGTCTGCTGAATGCCGTATGTTTTGCTGTAAGTGGAGAGAGTATGATTGATGAACTCACCCCCACCGTCAGAGTGAAGTCGGCCTATGGGACGTTTGAAGTGGTTGCGGCACTGCTCAGCCCAGTTGATGACCACAGCCGGCACCTGGTCTTTCGTGTGAAGAAAGACGACAGTGGAGTACCGACTGTGGTCGTCGACGAGAACGAGCATGTACCTGTGCCCCTGACGGGAGCGGATGGGATAAGGGCCCCAGAGATCCATGTGAACAAGGTCAATGGGGGCGGGAGCGAAGGTGGGATGACTGTGATGGGGGGACTGTTTGAGCTTGCCATGAATGCATGATGGGCATGGGGGAGCAGGGGAGGAGGGGAGGGGAGGTAAGGTGGGAGGAAGGCTGTTAAGGAGGCGAGAGGTGACGGTGGAGCGAAGTGCGGCGAAGTTGGGATGGCCGAGTCTGTGATGTAGGAGCACTGCAGGGTGGGAGAGGGCAGTAGAGGAGGAGGGGGATGGGGTGGGGGAAAAGTTGGGGGGGGAGGAAGAGGCAGATGGAGTAGAGGAGGATGATATCGGAGGAAGAGGGAGAAGGGGAGGGGGAGGGTGAGGGGGAGGAGGAGGGGGAGGGGGAGGGAGAAGGGGACCGGTGGAAGTACCAGCACGAGTGGTGACGTGACAAAAGGAGGGACGGGGTGTGCGGAGCGTGTAAAGGCGAGTGCGAGGGCAAAGGGGAATGCGCAGGAGGAAACGACCAGAGGCGGTGTGGTAGAGATCACAGTAGGAAGCAAAGCCAGGGTAAATGGCGGTAATACCAACGCCTTGGAGTTCACGGTGGGAGAGGAGGTTATTGCGAAGGGTAGGGATGTGGAGACCGGTGACTGTACCGGATGGGAAAGCGGTGCAAGGAAGGGTGGAGAGGTGAGTGCAGGGGATGGAAAAGCTGGAGTCGGCACCATGAACCTGGGTGGGAAGTGGGAGGGGGGTGAGGTTGCCAGCGTCTTTCAGTGCGGTTTCGGTGGCCCCACTGTCAAGGACAAAGTCCAGGGTGGGGGGGAAGGAGAGGGAGTGAACACAGAGTACTGGAGAGTTGTTTCATGGATAGACGAGGGAGAGAGCGGCGGGTGCTGCTGCTGTAAGTACTGTTGCTGCGGCGGCTGCTGCGGTGGGGGAGACTGTGGCGGTTGCAGCTGGAGAGATTGGGCTGCTGCTGCTGCTGGAAGCACCGCCGATGCTGCTGCGGTTGCTGCGGCTGGAGAGACTGTGGTGGCTGCTGCTGCTGGAAGCACTGCTGCTGCTGCGGATGGAGAGAACTGTGGCTGGTACTGCTGCTGGAAGCACTGCTGCTGCTGCGGCTGAAGAAACTGAGGCTGCCGCTGCTGCTGGAAGGACTGCTGCTGCTGCGGCGGAACGAACTGTGGCAGCTGCTGCTGCTGGAAGTACTGCTGCTGCTGCGGCTGGAGAAACTGTGGCTGCCGCTGCTGCAGGAAGGACTGCTGCTGCTGCGGCGGAAGGAACTGTGGCACTTGCTGCTGCTGGAAGGACTGCTGCTGCTGGAAGGACTGCTGCTGCTGCGGCTGGAAGGACTGCTGCTGCTGCTGCTGCTGGAAGGACTGCTGCTGCTGCGGCTGGAAGGACTGCTGCTGCTGCTGGAAGGACTGCTGCTGCTGCGGATGGAGAAACCGTGGCGGGTGAGGCTGGAGAGATTGCGGCTGCTGTCGGTGTTGGAAGAACTGCTGCTGCTGCGATTGCCGCGGCTGGAGGAGCTGTGGGGGGTGCGGCTGGAGAAATTGTGGTTGCTGCCGCTGCTGGAAGTGCTGCTGCTGCTGATGCTGGAGCTGCTGGAAACGCCGCAGATGGGGAGGGGGGGAGGGGGTGAGCAAGCGGAGATAAGGGGGGGGGGAGGAGTGGAGGGTCGGAGTGTTGAGAAGGGAGGGGCGAGGAGTAACACTGCTCCAGTGAGGAGGGGGGAGAAGGGCAGGGGGGGTAGCAGTCATGATGGGCGACGGCGGGTGGACCCGCGGCGGCCAAGGGTGAAGTTGCTGCTGCTGAGGCTGCTGCACTTCCCCTGCTGCCGCCGCTGCTGCCGCTGGAAGGAGGAGAGAGGGGGGGGTAAAGGAGGGCGACAGCGGTGGAGGGCAGAGGCGTTCAAGGTGCAGGGAGCGGCGGTGACAAGGGCGCAGGCGGCTGTGCGAACGCGCGGCGGCGGGAAGGGGAGGCGGTGGCAAAGTCGGGGGCGGCGGCGGCGAGCAGGCCGCGTCGACGAAGGGCGCAGGCGACGGCGGAAGGGCCGCGGCGGCGATTTTGAGAGCGGCGGCTGCAAGCAGGTTGCGGCGGCGGAAAAGGTGAAGGCGGCGGGGAAATGGCTGCGGCGGCGAAACGAGAGACGGCGGCGGCAGGCAGGCCACGGCAACGAGGGGCGCAGGGGGAGGGGGAGGGGGGGGGAGAGGAGGGTGCAGTTGCGGCTGAATCTGCAGGCGGCGACGGGGCAGTCACGGCGGCAGGAAGTGTGGGCGGGGATGACGCGGTCGCGGTGGCAGGATGGGCAGGCGGCGCCGAAGCAGTGGCGGCGGCAGGGCGGCGGCGGCGCAGTCGCGTTAGCGGGAACCGCGGGGCGACGATGGTGCAGTTGCGGCGGGGGAAATTGCGGGCGGGTGGCGGTGCAGAAGGGGCAGCGAGATGCGTGGGTGACGCGGAAGCAGGTGCGGCGGCGGGAGGGGAGGCGGCAACGCGAAATCGCGGCGGGGAGGGGGGGGGGGGGGGGGGGGGGGGGGGGCGGGAAGGTGACGACGAGCAGTCGCGGCGGCGGAATGCGCAGGCGGCGACGTTAGGTCGCGGCGGCGGGACGGGCAGGCGGCGACGAGGCGTCGCGGCGGCGGGACGGGCAGACGGCGCCGAAGCATGCGCGGCGGCGGGAAGGGGAGGCGGCGACGTGACGTCGCGGCGGCAGGATGCGGAGGCGGCGCCGAAGCAGGCGCGGCGGCGGGAACGCGGCGACGTGACGTCGCGGCGGAGGGACGGGCAGGCGGCGACGAGGCGTCGCGGCGGCAGGATGCGGAGGCGGCGCCGAAGCAGGCGCGGCGGCGGGAACGCGGCGACGTGACGTCGCGGCGGAGGGACGGGCAGGCGGCGACGAGGCGTCGCGGCGGCAGGATGCGTAGGCGGCGCCGAATTAGGCGCGGCGGCGGGAACGCGGCGACGTGACGTCGCGGCGGAGGGACGGGCAGGCGGCGACGAGGCGCCGCGGCGGCAGGATGCGCAGGCGGCGCCGAAGCAGGCGCGGCGGCGGGACGGCAGGCGGCGACGGGACGTCGCGGCGGCGGGATGCGCAGGCGGCGCCGAAGCAGGCACGGCGGCGAGAAGGGGAGGCGGCGACAGGGGGTCGCGGCGGGGGGGAGGAGGGGACAGCGGCGTTGCGCTCGCGGCGGTGGAATTTGCAGGCGAGGAAGGCGTAATCGCGGCGGAGGGGGGGGAACGGCGGCGACGGCGTAGGTCGCGGCGAGAGTATGCTAGTGATGGCTAGTTGAGCCACGCGTAGGAAAAGGTTTGTAGCTGTGGGGTGGGCCCATGGAAAAAAAAACTGAAGGGAGGGAGAGGTAAGGCCTAGGAACAAGTAGCTCTATACCATGTGAAAGTAGTAAATTGAACAAGTAAATTCATTAGAGGAGAAACCTAGCATACATAGTTGGAAGAGAGGCTTGGAAGAGAAGGGTGAAAGTGACCATAGGTTGGGTTGACCTCACTTGGGGGAGTGAAGCAACCATAGGTCAAGTGGGTTGGGTTGCCCACACTTTGTAGAAGTGAGGCAACCCTAGGCCCACTTGGCTTGAGGTGACCTCACTTGTGGGAAGTGAGGCACCCATAAACCAAGTGGGTTGCATTTGGGGGCTCCACCACAATTGGGTGAATTGGCACCCCAAAGTGCAAGACTACACCCAAAGTTGGGTGTAGTCGCAACCCAACTGTACACCACAACTGGTGTACAGTCACATGTGTTGGCATTCTACACAATATATATTTTAACATAACCCACCTTAGTGGGGCCTGACGCGTTGCCCTTGTACACCTCCTTGCTGATCGCCCACTGCAGCCGCTCCACCGCCCAATCAGGCGGCGCCACGTGGCAGTCGAGGGCGGCGCGGATGCAGTTGCGGATGCGCGCGCCGACGTTGGTCTGCATCTTGCGGATGGGCTCCAGCAGCACCACCCACTGGGGCGGGGACGAGCGGGCTGCCCACGGGATGCATGCATGGCATGGCACAAGGCAGGGGCGAGTGTGGTTCCCATGAGAGAGGCAGCACTGTGGAGGCCGTCGAGAGACGGCTGCCCTGCAGACCACACATCAACGACTCTGTGCCTCCATTCCCATGCACACTCCCATGCACACTCCCCATGCACACTCCCATGCACACTCCCATGCACACTCCCATGCACACTCCCATGCACACTCCCCATGCACACTCCCCATGCACACTTCCCATGCACACTCCCCATGCACACTCCCCATGCACACTCCCCATGCACACTCCCCATGCACACTCCCCATGCACACTCCCCATGCACACTCCCCATGCACACTCCCCATGCACACTCCCCATGCACACTCCCCATGCACACTCCCCATGCACACTCCCCATGCACACTCCCCATGCACACTCCCCATGCACACTCCCCATGCACACTCCCCATGCACACTCCCCATGCACACCCCCCATGCACACACCCCCCATGCACACACCCCCCATGCACACACAAGCACACCCCATGCATGCACAGCACCCACCAGAAGCGCCACCAGCGAGACCCCCAGCAGCCCCACCAGGGAGATCCCCAGCAGCACCGTGAGCAGCGGTGGCAGCTTCACTGCCCGCTTCCTCCTTCACTCCTGGCGCCTGCGGCACAGCGGCACTCACAGCACGGCTGTCATTCTCCTCTGCCGCTGCCACCGCCGCTGCCTCCTTCCCTCCCTGCTCGTCACCCGCTGACCCCGACCACGCTGCTGCCGCTGCCCCCCGGCCCGCCTTGCCCTTGCCTGCGCCACTGCCCAGCCCTCCTGCTGCCACGCCCGCAGGGGCAGCAGCAGCAGCAGCGGCAGCAGCGGCAGTGGTGGCAGTGGTGGCGTGCAGCTGCGAGGCGGCCACCAGCGCAAGCTGCCTCTCCGCTGTCGCCAGCGCCTGCCACGCCACGCACCAGACGGACACACGGGCACACGGGCACAGAGGGGCACACGGGCACACGGGCATATTCGGGCATGTGAGTCACGATGGTGAATAAATCTATGACGAAACAAGGTGATTGGCCAGCATGCTAAGGTGCTGCCCTGCACTCACAGCAGCGTGCTGCACTCACAGCAGCGTCGTGCATGGCAGTCACAGCAGCGTGCTGCACTCACAGCAGCGTGCTGCACTCACAGCAGCGTCGTGCACTCACAGCAGCGTCGTGCACTCACAGCAGCGCCGTGCACTCACAGCAGCGCCGTGCACTCACAGCAGCGTGCTGCACTCACAGCAGCGTCGTGCACTCACAGCAGCGTCGTGCACTCACAGCAGCGTCGTGCACTCACAGCAGCGCCGTGCACTCACAGCAGCGCCGTGCACTCACAGCAGCGCCGTGCACTCACAGCAGCGCCGTGCACTCACAGCAACGTCGTGCACTCACAGCAGCGCCGTGCACTCACAGCAGCGTCGTGCATGGCACCAGGGGTGCCGAGCCAGTGGCCCAGCAGCGGCCCGCCATCGCCAGCGATGCACCGCGTCAGCCGCCCCTGCTCCCACGGGCTGCGCCCGCACACCCCTCCCTGTCCCACCCCTTGCCTCCCGTCCTCCCTGCCGCTGCCTCGGCCGACCTCCTCCTCCCTGTCCGCTTTGCCTCCTTTGCTTGCCCCCCTCCGTCGCCTTCCCCCTCCCCTCGTCCCTCGCCTCCCCTCCCTTTCATCCCCTCCATGCGCCCTGCGCTCCTTCCTCTCTTCCTGCAGCAATGCAGTGCTCACAGCCAGCACCCTGCATGCCACCTCAGGCCACGTCAGCTCATCAATGGGACACATCAGCAGGTCGGAGCTGGCATCACTGACAGCAGCAGCACTGAAGCCCATGTGGTCGCCTGTGAGGGAAGCAGGAGAGCGCACTGTAGCAGCAGCAGCAGAGGTAGCACCCTTGCCACCACTCACTACACCAACTCTCGCTTCGGTTTCTGCGGCTTCCCTCTCCTTCCCTCTTCCATCCCTCTCGCGCCCGCCGATCACCTCGCGAGCAGCAACAGCAGGCATGGCGGCGGGCAGCAGCAGGTGCAGCAGCGCCACGTGCATGCGCCCCACCAGGGGCCCCGGGCCCTGCTCGCCCGCACTCACGGCGCTGCCTGCGCTCGCTGCACCAGCTGATGCGGGCAGATGGGCGGACGGGTAGGCGAGGTGGTGGGCGAGGGCAGGCAGGGAGAGCACGGGCAGGGGGGGGGAATGGGGGGAGGGCGGCGGAAGGCAGGGCAGGAAGGAGTGCAGCACGTGGTGCACCTGCAGGGGTGGGCGGGCAGGCGGTAGGGCGAGGCGATGGCGAGGGGGGGGAGTTGGAAAGGAGGCAGAGGGGTAAGTAAGGGCAGGATAGGCACCGGAGCGATGAGAGGCACCGGAGCGATGAGAGGCACCGGAGCGATGAGAGGCAATTACATGATGAGATGGCATGGGCAGAGCACGGCGCCAGTCCTGCTGCGTACAAGTCAGAAGACACGCAGCAGAGACGAGAGGGCGGCAGGGAGGGGCAGGGCGCACCTCAATGAGGCGCAGTGAGGGGCAGGGCGCACCTCAATGAGGCGCAGTGAGGGGCAGGGCGCACCTCAATGAGGCGCAGTGAGGGGCAGGGCGCACCTCAATGAGGCGCAGTGAGGGGCAGGGCGCACCTCAATGAGGCGCAGTGAGGGGCAGGGCGCACCTCAATGAGGCGCAGTGAGGGGCAGGGCGCACCTCAATGAGGCGCAGTGAGGGGCAGGGCGCACCTCAATGAGGCGCAGTGAGGGGCAGGGCGCACCTCAATGACGCGCAGTGAGGGGCAGGGCGCACCTCAATGAGGCGGGCAGGGCGCACCTCAATGAGGCGCAGTGAGGGGCAGGGCGCACCTCAATGAGGCGCAGCATGTCGGAGCGGGAGAGCCCCAGCAGTGCTGCCAGCGCGGGCTGTGCTGTAAGGGACACTGCTGACGCCGCCTCTTCCACCGCCATTCCCCTTGTCGTCCCGTCCGCCCCCTCCCACCCGTCCACCCTGTCCGCCCCATGAACCCCATCCCCCCACCCTCTATCCCCCCCTTCCTGCCCCCCACTCGCCCCACCCTGCAACTCGCTCACCCGCCCTCTGCCTGCCATCCCCATTCCCTCCTTCATATACCCACCCTCTCGCCCCTTACCCCCTTGCCCCTTACCCCCTTGCCCCTTACCCCCGTGCTCCCCCCCTCCGTGCTGCTCGTCCTGCATCCCACGCCCCCTCCTCGCCTGCCTCTCCTGCTCCCTCGCCACCCGCTCCTTCCACCACCGCTCCTCCCTCAACTCATACCCTGCGCACCGCTCTGCACCGCTCTGCCCCTCTATGAGGGCGAGCACGGGTGGGTGGGAGAGCCCGTACTTGTCTATCAGCAGCAGCGATTGAACCCGCTCCGCCTCCCACCCCGAATACTCTGCTCCCACTCTCTCCCCTTGCTGCCACTCTCGTACGCCCCCCTCACCCACGACACCCACATCGGAACCACTCTTTCCATCCTCCACCGCTCCCCCTGCCGGCCTTCCACTCTCCCGCCCACTCTCCCCCCTCGTCTCCGCCGTGCCCTGCCCAGCCCTCCCCATCCATGTCGCACCCAGCTGCTCCCACCACTCCCCTCCGAACCTCTCCCAAGCCTGCTGACTCGTTTTCCCGTCACACACCATCCGAACCTTGCTTTCAGCCTTGGAGCCCCCAAGCAGCTGCGAACGTGAGTCGTTGCTCGCCCCTCCTCTCTCCATCTCAGCTCCCCTCACACTCTCCCCGCCAATCCCCCCCTCCCCTTCCCCCCCATCCACCTCCCGCCCATCCTCTCCCTCCGCCCATGAGTCACCCCCTGTCCGCCAACCCCCCATGTCCGCAGGGCCCCCCCCATCCCACAGCAGCGCCTGCACCTCCTCCCCCATCGCGCCCTCCCCTCCCTCACTCCCACCCTCTCGCTCTCCCCCACATGCCTCCTCTCCCTCTCTCCCACCCCTTGCCATGTTCTGCCTGTCCATCCCCCCTCCCTCCTCCCTGACTCCCTCTCTTGCATCCTCCCTCCACACCCGAAACACCGGGTTACCGCCCTCCCGCACCCCCTGCCCCCACCCCTCGCCCTCGCTGCCCCGCTCCACCACCTCGCTATGGCACAGCCCTCCTAAAGGGTCCTCCCACACTGCATGGTACCCACGTGGCCAAATCTCATTGGCGGAGTGGTATGCAGGGCGGGTGTCCACGTGGCCAACGGACAACAACCGAATGGTGATTTTGACGGGCTGCTGTGACGACAACGGGGTGGCGCTGTCGAGAGCGGGGGGGCGGGTTGAATTGTCTGGATGTGGAATGGTCAGGGTGAAGTCTTTTGGAAGAATCACCTGCAAGCAGTGTTGTGTTCAGCACGCGCCACGTCAGCAAAGCAACACGCGTGTGGAAAACAGAGGCGCGCGACGAGAATAACTCCTCACCTGTTCTGCCGCCCGTGCTGCCTCAACAGCTGCCACGTGTCGCAGCTGTGCGAGCATGTCGCCGAGCGACGCATCCATTGGCAGAAACGGCGACCACGGCGTGGCGAGGATGGGGATAAGGCCGCTGCTCGTCGAATGCCGCACCTCCCCAAGATGAGGGGCTTCGCGGGGCATGTCTGGGCTCGCTACCTCCAACCTTTCCTTCCTGCCGGACGAAACCCGCATGGGTAGGTTTTATCGTCGCGAGCTGGGGGTTCCGAAGCTGCACGACCACCCAGCCTGGGAAACCAAGGTGCCAGCCGCGCAGGTCGCGCGATGGTGCGCTTTCGGACTGGAGCTGCAGCGACTCCTCTGGCGTGATTGCCGCGCTCATGTATTTCTAGTCTGCGCTCTCTCAGGGCGGGTCACACTCATCACAGGCCAGGTCAATTTGGGCCGTGTAACCGTGTCGAGATTTGAAACAAGAGTAACATGACACGATAGATCGAAGCGCAGGGATTCGCAAGCACGCACGACATCGCGGTAACCGCATGTGCAGTTTGTGTTGCGATTTCGCAATCAGACCTGTCGAACCCTCTACGAACTCGACAACATGGCCAGCCAACCAACATGCCTCCCGTGCCTGCCCCCAGGTTTCCCCTTTCCCCAAACCAAGCGCCAGCTCTCACCAAGCCTTGCTTCGGCCGAGCGGATCCACGCTTCTCAACTAGCCCGAGCCTCAATACCAGCTTTCGCTTACATTTGGTGCCTGAATTTCCAACCATACCGAACATCAGAACCAATTTGCCTAGGTCGACAAGAGGGGTCGTCGGAGCCAGGCCTGTCGAGGCGGGGCACTGACGAGCGTGCGGGCCCGCCAGCCTGGCCAAGGGCTGGGCCGAGGGCTCGACCGCCGCCCCACAACCCCGCTCCGAAATCGAACAGCGCCCCACGTTACCGGGTGGGGGCGGCGAACTGGCGACCCCTCGCGCGAGGGAAAGTAACCCTAGGGCGAAGGCAGCCCCCCCGTCCCTCCTGCCCGCGACGTCCTAGTAACCCATCGCGACCTGCCCGGCCGGGCAGGTGAGGGCCGGGCGAAATTCGGGTGCTTCCCTCAGGACGTTCGACCGTTTCGCGACCCAGTGCGGTGACGCCACGTGTTCGCCGGTGGCTTTGCATCGGGTGCATGCGAAATTTCGTACCCGGCGAAATTATAGTGCTCGCTTCGCGGTGAACGACAATTTCGCGACCCGATGCGAAAATGACACGTGTCGCCCGAGGCGACGCACCGCGCGCATGCGACGTTGCGTCCCCTCGCCGACCTGCTCCACTCGCGAAGTCGACATGCTGGCACGGCGGAGACGAATCACCTGTGCCACTTGTGCATGCGGCCTCCGAGCCCAACCGAGCCGAGCCCCACACCCGTGGGCGATGCCCAACCGGCCTGTGGGGCACCACCTCCCTTTTCTTTGTGGATGGTGGCTTCGCTCCTCATTTTCGCCATCTCGTTTCACTTTCAGCCTTCCTCTAGCTCCGCGCCTTCCTTACTCACACGTTCTCGTTCCTTAGCCGTTAGCTGCTTCCCTTCGCCGTCATGGACGCCGACCCGCCCGCCGCCGACGTGGCGCCGGCTTCGCAGGACTTCCTTTTGTATATCGACATGGGTAGCGGACTCTCTATTGCGGAGAATAGGCGATTGTGGGAGAGCCTAGACGCAGAGTTGCAAAGCGGATGCTTGTGAACCGAATACAGACTTGTTGGAAACCGAATACAGATGCCAAGGTTGGTATGTAGTAACTGAAGGAACGAAATTGATTAATTGATAATGTTGATAGATTACAACAGAAACAACATGAACCTTATAGAGAAACATAGTGACATGTGCGAGAACGTTCTACGAGAACGTCGTTCATGAAGAACGTTGTTCAAGGAGAACGTGCAAGCACCTACTCTAGTATGCAGTTCCAGGTTGGGACCGCCAGGTTAAAATACCATCAGGTGAAAACACCATCAGATGTATTTCTACCTGCCCAGGAGTAGTTGCGTAGGTTCTTGCAACACTGACAGTTGCACATACGCGTTTGTGCAATGTCGTCACTTCCCTGGTCCAATGTCGAAACGTGCATACCGAAGCGCACAGATTGGAGTGTACTTGGCGAATTCCGCAATACAGGTAAAACCGGTATGCGGTATGCGAAGTCTCGCTACTCCACATAGGGCTGCTACACGCGAAACCAGACGCGTGCAGGGCTTAGCCTCAACACTCTGTCAGAACTATGCTCTAGGCTATAGTGGGGCACTCCTTATGGGGTACAGCCCAATTAGGTTTTGCTATACAAACCCTGTACTGCTGTCATTCTAGTCATTCATTCTTCATCATTCTGACATGGTATCAGAGCAGGTTCCCTAGTGGGAACGTTTTTTTTAGGGCCCACTACGATAACGATATTTTTCCTGCCCTGCCCGAAGCACGCCTCACGCCTGCCTCACCTGCGCCGTCGCGCGCCCTGCCCTACTGCCGCCCGTAGAGGCCCTGCCCTCCCGGCCCGTCGCGGCCCTGCCCTAACGGCCCGTCGCGGCCCTGACCTAGCCGCCCGTCGCGGCCCTGCCCTGCCTCCCCCCGTTGCGGCCCTGACCTCGCCGCCAGTCGCGGCCCTGCCCTGCCGCCACCTGTCGCGGCCTTGCCCTGCTGCCGCCCCGTCGCGGCCCTGCCTTGCCGCCGCCTCGTCGCGGCCCTGCCCTACAGCCGCCCCGTTGCGGCCCTGACCTAACCGCCCGTCGCGGCCCTGTCCTGCACCCGCCCCTGGTAAGCGCCTGCCCTGCTAAGCGCGCTGTCGCGCCCGCTGCCTGCCGCCGCCGCGCCCGCTGCCTGTCGCGCTGCCCCGCGCACGCCCTGCCCTGCCCCGCGTCGCGCTGTATCGCGCACGCCCTGCCCTGCCCTGTTAGGCCCGCCGCGGGCCCGCCCTTCTCGCCGCCGCGCCTGCCCGTTACGCCCGCTGCCGCGCCCGCCCGTTAGGCCCGCCGCGGGCCCTGCCTTCGCGCCGCCGCGCCTACCCGTTCGGCCCGTCACGGGCCTGTCAGAATCCCAACCACTAGACCATTGGGATAAAAGGGCTTGTTAAGTAGCGGGTCAGTGCGCCCATAACCCCCCAGGACAACGAGCCTGTAACCCTTCCCTAGGATCAATCGGGGATCACCAGTGGACCTCTGACACCCCCCCGCACGGGGATGCCCGAAGTGCACACACTGGGATTCGAACCCGAGACCTTCGCTCTGATAGCATGTCAGAATCCCAACCACTAGACCATTGGGATAAAAGGGCTTGTTAAGTAGCGGGTCAGTGCGCCCATAACCCACCAGGACAACGAGCCTGTAACCCTTCCCTAGGATCAATCGGGGATCACCAGTGGACCTCTGACAGGGCCTGTCCGCTACGCCCGCCGCGGGCCCGCCCCTTGCGCCCGCCGTGCCTGCCTTTTGCGCCCGCCGCGGGCCTGCACTCGCGCCAGCGCCCTGCCCTGCCAACGCGCCAGCGCCCTGCCCTGCGCGCACTGGCGCCCTGCCCTGCCCTGCCCGAGCCGCCTCTGCAGCGCACTGTGCGCACTGCTAAACCCTAAAAAAAAAAAAAAAAAAAAAAAAAAAAAACTCTTGGTGCTTCTGCCCTTGGAGCTATTGCCTGCTACTGGCCGCGCGCCGCCCTGCTCTGGTCGCACGCCGCCCTGCTCTGGCCGCGCGCCGCCCTTCCCTGACCGTGCACCGGCCCGACCTACCCTAGTGCCTCCTCGCCGCCCTTTCTTCCCTACGTGCTGCCCTGCTGGTCCCATGACTTCTCTTCACGGCGGCGGTGGGAGTGGTGGCGACGTTGGCGGCAGCAGTGGGAGTGGTGGCGGTCGTCGTAGCAGTCGCTGTGGAGCTGTTCGGTGGGGAGTTTCTGGCGGTGGCCAGATGCAGCTGCAGCGGCGTCCGCGTGAGACCCATACACCCCAGCAGCTTCGTGAGTGGTTTGCTCAGCGTTGGGCGTCTCAGCGTAGTGGCCGTAGTGGCAGTCGCGGTGCAACTACTCAGTTGGGAGGTTCTGGCGGTGGCCAGATGCAGCTGCAGCGTCGTACGCGTGAGACCCTTACACCCCAGCAGCTTCGTGAGTGGTTTGCTCAGCGGTGGGCGTCTCAGCGTAGTGGCCGTAGTGGCAGTCGCGGTGCAGCTACTCATGTGGGAGTTTCTGGAGGTGGCCCGGTGCAGCTGCAGCGGCGTCCACGTGAGACCCTTACGCCCCAGCAGCTTCGTGAGTGGTTTGCTCTGCGTTGGGCGTCTCAGAGACGTGCTGAGGGTGACTGTTACCTGTGTGTGCCGCCCGACCCAGGTATAGAGGCTGCTGCTCTAGGTGCTAGTGAGTCTGCTCTCTCAGGTACTGGTGAGTCTGCTCTGGTACTTCGTCTGCTGCGGCCCTGCACACCTTCACGCTTGACTCAGGTGCTTCCCACTCCTTCTTTCGCGACAGCACCACACTCACACCGCTCAGTCGGCCAGTTGCAGTCTCCCTGGCGGACCCCTCTGGGGGCCCAGTCCTTGCGCACTCCTCTATAGTTCTGCCATGTCCGGTGGTCCCGTCTGGCTCATTGTCGAGTCTTCACCTCCCCTCGTTCTCTACGAACTTGGTGAGTGGAGCTGACCTCCAGGACGTGTGGGTTGACCAGTTGAATCCTGGAGGTCAGCGGGTGACCCACTGTACGTGTACTCGGACGGGGCGCCACCTGGCCACGTTCACCCGTCGGCCTGGGTCGAGCCTGTACACACTGACTACTGAGTCTCCTCCCGTTGCTGAGTAGCCGCCTAGTCAGGTGTTTGCTGCCGCGTCCAGGTCTGGTCCTGAGTCTGCCCCCTGCTCGTGTCGTCTCCTGTCACACCAGACTCTCCTTTGGCACCACCGCCTTGGTCACCCCTCCCTGCCTCGTCTCCGAGGTATGGCCTCCCGTCTCCTTGTCACTGGTCTCCCCCGGTCTCTCCCTCCCCTCCCACCGGGGCCTGCCCCTACCTGCGTTCCTTGCGTCGAGGGACGGCAGCGCGCCACTCCTCACTCCTCCGAGTTCCCTCCGACGGAGGCTCCCCTGCAGACTCTCCACATGGACGTGTGGGGCCCAGCCCGCGTCCGTGGACAGGGTCACGAGCGTTACTTTCTGCTCGTCGTTGACGAATAT